GTAACAGACATGTAACTTCTGTATCCTTCAGCTTCACCGGAGCGTGACGTGCAGCTGGAGACCATGAATGACTGAAAGTTATTTATATACAGTATGTTCCTTTTAATACCCCGCAAAGCAACTCTGAGAATAAAGCAGGCAAGATTTATTTTAGCATAAAGCAGGGGTTCTTACCTGGGGTGGCCCTTCGGGCTATGGGAACCAAATGATGGGGGTATGGGACTGGATCTCTGAAGAATTCAAATGGCATTCTTTAACCACTTGCCGTCTAGCCATTGTAGAAACGCAACTGGATGGCTGACTCTTGAGGGCAGGAGGCTGTATTAAAACTTCTTGCAGCTCAGCTGTGATTGCTGTGTGCTTCAGATACTGAGTACAGCAGAGCCAAAAACTACATTTATTCGACCAAGGGGAGGGCGCTACAAGTGTAATGCCACAACAGTCCCAGTTTAACCACACCAGTGTAAGCCAGTAACAGTGTTTCCTGATCACCGCCACATCAGTCCCAGTCTCTCCGGACCAATATAAACCAGCAACAGTGTTTCTTATCATCACCATAACAGTCCCAGTGTTTAGCAGACCAATGCAGCCAGTAAAAGTGTTCCTAGTCACCGCCACATCAGTCCCAGTTTCACCAGACCAATATAGGACAGCAATAGTGTTCCTGATCACCACCACACCAGTTGCATTGTTCAGCAAACCAATGCAGCCAGTAACAGTGTTCCTGATCACCACCATACTAGTCCCATGCTACCAGACAAATGCAGCCAGAAACAGTGTTCCTGATCACCACCATACTAGTCCCATGCTACCAGACAAATGCAGCCGGAAACAGTGTTCCTGATCACCACCACACCAGTCCCAGTGTTTAGCAGACCAATGCAGCCAGTAACAGTGTTCCTGATTGCTACCATACTAGTCCCAGTGTTACCAGACCAATGTAAGCCAGCAACAGTGTTCCTGATCACCACCACATCAGTCCCAGTACCACCAGACTAATATAAACCAGCAACAGTGTTCCTAATCACCACCATACCAGTCCCAGTGTTTACCAGACCAATGCAGCCAATAACAGTGTTCCTAAACACTGCTACATCAGTCCCAGTCTCATCAGACCAATATAAGCCAAGAAAAGTGTTCCCGATCACCACCACACCAGTTCCAGTGTTTAGAAGACCAATGCAGCCAGTAACAGTGTTCCTGATCACCACCATACTAGTCCCAGTGCTACCAGACAAATGCAGCCAGAAACAGTGTTCTTGATCACCACCACACCAGTCCCAGTGTTTAGCAGACCAATGCAGCCAGTAACAGTGTTCCTGATCACCACCATACTAGTCCCAGTGCTAAAATAACAATGCAGCCGGAAACAGTGTTCCTGATCACCACCACATCAGTTCCAGCCTCACCAGACCAATATAAGCCAGCAACAGTGTTCCTAATCACCACCATACCAGTCCCAGTGTTACCAGACCAATGCAGCCAGTAACAGTGTTCCTAATCACTGCTACATCAGTCCCAGTCTCACCAGACCAATATAAGCCAGCAACAGTGTTCCTGATCACCACCATACCAGTCCCAGTGTTATCAGACTAATGCAGCCAATAACAGTGTTCCTGATCACCACCATACTAGTCCCAGTGTTATCAGACTAATGCAGCCAATAACAGTGTTCCTAATCACTACTACATCAGTCCCAGTCTAGCCAGACCAATATAAGCCACCAAAAGTGTTCCTGATCACCACCACACCAGTTCCAGTGTTTAGCAAACCAATGCAGCCAGTAACAGTGTTCCTAATCACCACCATATTAGTCCCAGTGCTACCAGACCAATGCAGCCGGAAACAGTGTTCCTGATCACCACCACACCAGTCCCAGTGTTTAGCAGACCAATGCAGCCAGTAACAGTGTTCCTGATTACCACCATACTAGCCTCAGTGTTATCAGACCAATGCAGCCAGTAACAGTGTTCCTAATCACTACCATACCAGTCCCAGTGTTACCAGACCAATGCAGCCAGTAACAGTGTTCCTAATCACCGCTACATCAGTCCCAGTTTCACCCAGACCAATATAAGACAGCAATAGTGTTCCTGATCACCACCACACCAGTTCCAGTGTTTAGCAGACCAATGCAGCCAGTGACAGTGTTCCTGACCACCACCATACTAGTCCCATGCTACCAGACAAATGCAGCCAGAAACAGTGTTCCTGATCACCACCATACTAGTCCCATGCTACCAGACAAATGCAGCCGGAAACAGTGTTCCTGATCACCACCACACCAGTCCCAGTGTTTAGCAGACCAATGCAGCCAGTAACAGTGTTCCTGATTGCTACCATACTAGTCCCAGTGTTACAAGACCAATGTAAGCCAGCAACAGTGTTCCTGATCACCACCACATCAGTCCCAGTACCACCAGACTAATATAAACCAGCAACAGTGTTCCTAATCACCACCATACCAGTCCCAGTGTTACCAGACCAATGCAGCCAATAACAGTGTTCCTAAACACTGCTACATCAGTCCCAGTCTCATCAGACCAATATAAGCCAAGAAAAAGTGTTCCCGATCACCACCACACCAGTTCCAGTGTTTAGCAGACCAATGCAGCCAGTAACAGTGTTCCTGATCACCACCATACTAGTCCCAGTGCTACCAGACAAATGCAGCCAGAAACAGTGTTCTTGATCACCACCACACCAGTCCAGTGTTTAGCAGACCAATGCAGCCAGTAACAGTGTTCCTGATCACCACCATACTAGTCCCAGTGCTAAAATAACAATGCAGCCGGAAACAGTGTTCCTGATCACCACCACATCAGTTCCAGCCTCACCAGACCAATATAAGCCAGCAACAGTGTTTCCTAATCACCACCATACCAGTCCCAGTGTTACCAGACCAATGCAGCCAGTAACAGTGTTCCTAATCACTGCTACATCAGTCCCAGTCTCACCGACCAATATAAGCCAGCAACAGTGTTCCTGATCACCACCATACCAGTCCCAGTGTTATCAGACTAATGCAGCCAATAACAGTGTTCCTGATCACCACCATACTAGTCCCAGTGTTATCAGACTAATGCAGCCAATAACAGTGTTCCTAATCACTACTACATCAGTCCCAGTCTCACCAGACCAATATAAGCACACCAAAAGTGTTCCTGATCACCACCACACCAGTTCCAGTGTTTAGCAAACCAATGCAGCCAGTAACAGTGTTCTAATCACCACCATATTAGTCCCAGTGCTACCAGACCAATGCAGCCGGAAACAGTGTTCCTGATCACCACCACACCAGTCCCAGTGTTTAGCAGACCAATGCAGCCAGTAACAGTGTTCCTGATTACCACCATACTAGCCTCAGTGTTTAGCAGACCAATGCAGCCAGTAACAGTGTTCCTAATCACTACCATACCAGTCCCAGTGTTACCAGACCAATGCAGCCAGTAACAGTGTTCCTAATCACCGCTACATCAGTCCCAGTTTCACCAGACAATATAAGACAGCAATAGTGTTCCTGATCACCACCACACCAGTTCCAGTGTTTAGCAGACCAATGCAGCCAGTGACAGTGTTCCTGATCACCACCATACTAGTCCCAGTGCTACCAGAAACAATGCAGCCGGAAACAGTGTTCCTGATCACCACCACATCAGTCCCAGTCTCACCAGACCAATATAAGCCAGCAACAGTGTTCCTAATCACCACCATACCACAAGTGTTTTTCCCCCTAATGCTATGTAACCCAATGTTTCCCATATTATCCTATTGGGCGAATGCTCCTTCTGGATAATATAAAATACTACAGATCATTAATGGTTTTTTAAAATATATTTTAATTATAAAATTTCCCCTGCATTCCTTTAGATGTCATTAGACCCATTTGATCTTTTTCCTTACATGTATATCCTTTCCTGTAATACTCCATCGTGCTACTGTTGTCTGATTCCAATGTTTTTTATTTTTATTTAAATTTTCACAGGACCGTTATGGTCTGTCATGCTTACAGCCCCTCTCTTTTGTTAATTATATCGTCCTTTTATGAAAGCTTCTTTTTTTACTACATCTCTCTGTAAGAAAACATCGATTGTAAGTACTGCACATATCCTTTTATTAGAATGTTATTGTTGCATGTCTATAGCCATATGTACCACTACCATCAGGCCGCCTGAGTGCATATGTTATTTTCCATCAACTTGCTCCTCCTCTTGCTGAGAGTGTAAATGCCCTACATCAAGATGGCGTCCATATGGCGCTCCGAACGTGCACCAACCCCCCGCTATCACGTAACCAGAAGTGACGTCTCAACCGAGGGAATCCCGGAACTAGGAGGACGTGCTGAAAGCCACCAGCACCACCGCCAGATGCCAGTGACCACCATCCATCCAGAGGCTTCACACTCCTTCACTACAACGAATGCTTATTAATTTACAAGCGCAAACCTACTTATTCTTTGTGAGTGGCCTGTATTACTACACTTTTTATTCATTAACCACTTGCCTACCAGGCACTTATACCCCCTTCCTTACCAGGCCAATTTTCAGCTTTCAGCGCTGCCGCACTTTGATTGACAATTGCGCGGTCATGCAACATTGTACCCATATGAAATTTTGATCATTTTTTTCTCACAAATAGAGATTTCTTTTGGTGGTATTTAATCGCCACTGGGCGCTTTACTTTTTGCGCTATAAATTAAAAAAGTGCAAAAAATTTGAAAAAAAAAAAAGTTTCTTTGTTTCTATTATAAAATTTTTCAAACAGGTAATTTTTCTCCTTCGCTGATGTGCGTTGATGAGGCAGCACATGATGGGCACTGATAGGTGGCACTGATGGGCACTGATAGGCAGCACTAAAGGGCACTGATAGGCAGTACTAATGAGGTGGCACGGATAGGCGGCACTGATAGGCAGTACTAATGAGGTGTCACGGATAGGCAGCACTAATATGCAGCACTGATAGGCGGCACTGATAGGTGACACTGATGATGGGTACTGATAGATGGCACTGACTGGCATCACTGCTGGGCACTGACTGGCGGAACTGACTGGCACAACCGCTGGGCACTGACTGGTGGCACTGACTGGCAGCACTGCTGGGCTGCACTGGTGGGTGGCATGGCACTGGTGGGCAGCACTGGTGGGTGGGCACAGGTGGGTGGCACTGGTGGGTGGCACTGGTGGGCACAGGTGGGTGGGCACAGGTGGGTGGCACTGCTGGGCACAGGTAGGTGGCACTTCTGGGCACAGGTGTGTGACACTGCAGAGTGGCACAGGTGGGTGCACTGCTGGGCACAGGTGGGCGGAGCTAGTGGGCGCACTGCTGGGCACAGGTGGGCGGAACTTGTGGGTGGCACTGCTGGGCACCGATCATCAGGGCACTGATCATCAGTGCCCCGATGATCGGTGCCGATCCTCGCTCTGACAACTGCCGGTTCTCGGCAGTACTTTCCTCACGATCTGACAGCGTGAGGAAAGTGCAGCTGAGAACCGGCACTTACATTTCCCTGTGATCAGCGTGTCATTGGACACCGCTGATCACGTGGTAAAAGGCCAGTATGATTGGCCTTTTACCACATCTCGTGATCAGCTGTGTCCGTAGGACACAGCGATCACGGAGATCGCCGGGTGCGCGCCCCCTGGGGCGCGCAGGAGAGCGCGTTCTGGGGGGACGTCATATGACGTCCACCCAGAAACTGGCCGGCCGCAGTGAAGCCGTCATTCGGCTATCTGCGGTCGGCAACTAGTTAAAAAGCTTTTATACTGCACTTAGAGGTCGCCGCCTCTTTCTTCCTAATTTTTCACAGGGCCTCTCTAGCTCATTATTGACCGGCTGCCTCCACTCCAAGGTGCATCAGAATTACCTATTGGACTCTTTCTAAGGACATTTTATTTGTATATTTATCACAGTGTTCATGATTTATTTTCCCTAATTCCATCACCATTGATTATATGTTTATACATACTAATGTATGCTGCATCTACCTCCTTATTCCATCTCAGAGTGCACCAAATATTCTACTTGCCCCCCAGAGACTATACCCATCTTTGAGCTTCCCATTTAGGACAGTGCAGGATCACAAAGTCCCTATGGACTTTCAAATATATAATTTATTGGTCCACATCATTTCTGCATTAGCTTGGTTCTATATTCTAGCACTCCCTATTCTCCTCTGTAATTCTAAGTATACTCATTCTGTGTGTGAAAATTATCTTATTGATCTGACAGCTTTATATAAAAAAATACATATTTTTTTATCTCGGGATCTTCCAAAAACTTGTGGCAAATAAAAAAGGAATATTCAAAGGACTCACCCTGCCTCTTAAAAATGCCTTGGGGTGTTTTCTTTGCAAAATGTGGTCATTTTCTGGGTGATTCTCCTGTTCTGTCACTTCAGGGCCTCAAGAAGTGTGAAAGGTAGTCAGGAAATCAGATGCATTATTGATGCTCTTTGAAAGCCTGAAGGAGCTCATTGGATTGTGTGCCCCTCTATGCATGCATGAGGAGTAGAAGAATGTGTTTTTCAGTGCAATTCTAGGCAAATGCCTATGCTATGTGTGAGAAACAACTTGCTAAAATGACAACTTTGTGAAACAAAATTAAGTTTTATTCACTTTCTTCATTTTCTAACAAATTGTGGAAAAAAAATATTTCAAAACTTCAAAAAAAACCAAAAAAACTCACCATACTTACCAAATACACTGGAGTATCTACTTTCCAAAAATGAGTAATTTCTGGGTTGTTTGTACTATCCTGGCATTTTAGAGCCTCAAGAAATGAGAACATCAATTTCAAATATAAAGTCAGGTCCATATATATTTGGACACGTGCACAATTTTAGTTTTTTTCAGGTATTTACCAAAACATATTCAGTAATGGTTATGGGCTCTCAGGTTCACAGATGTAGGTTCACAGATGTAGGTTCACAGCAATAGATTGCAAATGCTACACCTACCTCCTGGAGTGTGTCCTTCACTTGTCTGGATGTTGTGAATGAGTTTTTCTTTACCATAGAGAGGATCCTGCAATCATCCACCACTGTAGTCTTTCATGGACGTCCATGCCTTTTTATGTTGCTGAGCTCACTAGTGAGTTCTTCTTTCCTCAAAATGTACCAAACTATTGATTTGGCCACTCCTAATGTTGCTGATTGATGGATGGATTTGTTTTGTTTTTGAAGCCTTACAATGTCCTGTTTCACTTGCATGGACAGCTCCTTTGAACGCATGATGTAGGTTCACAGCAACAGATTCCAAATGCAAATACCACACTTAGAATCAACTCCAGACCTTTTACCTGCTTAATTGATAAAGAAATAACAAAGGAGTAGCCCACACCTGGCCATGAAAAAGCTTTTGATTCAATTCTCCAATTACTTTTGGTCCCTTGAAAATGAGGGGATGGCTACACTTAAGAGCTGTAATTTCTAAACCCTTCCTCCAGTTTGGATACCCTCAAATTAAACCTGAGAGTGTGCACTTGCAGCCCATATCCATTATATAACTATAGCTTGAATATGTTTTGGTAAATACCTGAAAAAAACAAAAATTGTGCCTGTGTCCAAATATATATGGACCTAACTGTATATACAGAATGTACCATAGTTTGTAGACTCTAGAACTTTTACACAGACTAAATAATATATACCTTTTTTTTACCAAAGAAATGTAGCAGAATAAATTTCGGCCTAGATTTATGAAGAAAGATGATTTATTTGCAAAGGTTTATTGAAGAAATCCATTTTTATTTAAATGTTTGCCTTTTTTCCTTTATATAGTAAAAACTTACAAAGCATGAGGAAAGGAAGGCCGATAACCGGCATTCCTGACAGCGTTTTGTTTTTACACTGATAATCACAGCACTAATCAACAGTGCCCTGATTATCAGTGCAGCCCTAGCAGTGCCCATCAGTGCAGGTTATCAGTGCAGCTTATCAGTGCAAATCAGTGCCCATCAGTGGTGCTTATCAATGCCTATCAGTGTCACCTATCAGTGCCGCCTCATCAGCGCCGTCTCATCAGTGCCCATCCGTTCCGCCTCATCAGTGCAGCCTCATCAGTGCCCATCAGTGCATATCAGTGCAGCCTCATTAGTGCCCATCGGTGCAGACTCATTATTGCCCAATAGTGCACCCTCATCAGTGCCCATCAGTTCAGCCTTACCAGTGTCCATCAGCACAACTTATTAGTGCCCATCAGTGCAGCCTCATCAGCGCACATCAGTGTAAAAGAAAAATTAGTTATTTGCAAAATTTTATAATAGAAACTAACATAAAAAAATGTTTTTTTTTCAAACTGTTCTGTCTTTTTTTTCTTTATTTAGAAAAAAAAAAAATAAAAAAACCAGTGGTGGTTAAATACCACCAAAAGAAAGCTCTATCTGTCTTAAAAAAAAGATATAAAATAATTTGGGAATGTTGTTGTCTGACCAAGTAATCATTAGTCAAAGTATCACAGTACTAAAAACTGAACAATGACCTGGACAGGAAGAGGGTTTAACATGCTGATCTTACCTAAGTATTTACATTTCATTCACACTGTATGCATCAAGCTGAGTTTCTCAACACAATACCAAGTAAAAATAAAATGCTTTCAATCAGCCTGGTTCACACCAACACTTGGGTGTCTATTTATAAAACACTAGTTGGATGAATATCACACACATTGGTGCAAGTCGCACACATTTTGACATTTTTTCTGTTATAGATTAATCCCTATGAATGTCAGTTCCATCTAGTGGTATATTTTCTGATTGAGGTATTTCAGAAAAATATCCTGCATTTTGGCCACTACGGTAGATGATCATCATAGGAAGTCATAGCACAGGAAAAATATGTGCAGCCTTGACAAATGTTTGTGACATTCGTCCAACTGAATGTTTTATAAATAGACCCCCCAGCTTGAAATAAATGTGCAGAAACATTTCATGGCAGTAGAATTGTCATTAATTTTACCCCCCATTCCATGTTTTGACTGTGCAAAAACAACAGCAAACATTTCACTAGCTGTAGCTAACTTGTGTGTATTTGGGATCTGACATTTTTTATATTAATAGATAATATAAAATCATTGATTTTTTTTTTTCATCTGCTCTTTTCCCAGCTCTCCATATGTAAAACTAAGCTACTAACATCTTTAGAAGGCATACTGGTTCCTAGATTTTTTGGGGATTATTAAAATGCAAAAAGAGATTAACTGTGTGTAAACTACATTCTATCTATCTATCTATCTATCTATCTATCTATCTATCTATCTATCTATGTTTCTCTATCTATCTATCTATCTATCTATCTATCTATCTATGTTTCTTTATCTATCTATCTATCTATCTATCTATCTATCTATCTATTCATCCTATGTTTCTCTATCTATCTATCTATCTATCTATCTATCTATCTATCCTGTTTCTCTATCTATCTACTGTATCTAATCTGCTCTTCTCCCAGCTCTCCATATGAGAAAAAGAGATTAACTGTGTGTAAACTACATTCTATCTATCTATCTATCTATCTATCTCTATCTATCTATCTATCTATCTATATATCCTATGTTTCTTTATCTATCTATCTATCTATCTATCTATCTATCTATCTATCTATCTATCTATCTTTCCTTTATCTCTATCTATCTATCTATCTATCTATCTATTTTATCTATCTATCTATCTATCTATCTATCTTTCCTATGGTTCTTATCTATCTACTGTATCTAATCTATCTTCTATCTCTCCATATTTAACTGTTTGTAAACTACATTATCTATCTATCTATCTATCTATCTATCTATCTATCTATCTATCTATCCTATTTTCTTTTTCTATCTATCTATCTATCTATCTATCTATCTATCTCTTATCTATCTATCTCTCCATCTATCTATCACTTTGTCTATCTATCTATCTATCTTTAGAAGGCTATCTGGTTATCTTTCTATCTTTCTATTTTTATGGGGATTTATCTATCTATGCTCTATCTATCTGTGTAAATCTATCTACTCTATCTATCTATCTATCTATCTATCTATCTATCTATCTATCTATTATCTATTCATCCTATCTATCTATCTATCTATCTATCTATCTATCTATCTATCTATCTATCTATCTATTATCTATTATCTATCTATCTATCTATCTATCTATCTATCTATCTATCTATCTATCTTCCTATGTTTCTTTATCTATCTATCTATCTATCTATCTATCTATCTCTATCTTTCTATCTATCTATCTTTCCTATGGTTCTTTATCTATCTATCTCTCTATCTATCTATCTATCTATCTATCTATCTATCTATCTATCTATTCATCCTATCTTTCTATCTATCTATTCATTCTATCTATCTATCTATCTATTTATCTATC